GGGAAGGAGTCTAAGAAATCGTGAACCAAATGAGACGAATAGAAGCAGAGCACAAACATCTTTCCTTTCCAGAGGATTAGCTACTCTTTTTGTTGCTTGTCTTTATATATTCCTACAGGTACGTCCCACAAGAAGATTGGCCATAATGTGGATAGGGCGGACTTGAAATAATACAAATTAAGGGTGCTATTTCGCATGCCAATGAAGAGACGCATGTACATATATATATCTATTTATTATTTGCTGTAATAGGCTACAGTCGCCGTCTCCCTTAGTCGATGAAGCAGTAACATCCCCTATATGCTATGCTATCCTGAGCTCGGCTGTGTATGCTAAGGGTGATAGTACATATCGTATTTGAAGTTGCTTGAATATTTCTTACTGTTCTTTTTTCTTTTTCTTTTTTTCTCTTTTGATTCTTCCTATAATTCTTATCCTCATCCTGCCTTCAGGATACGAAGAACCTGGGACGCAACGGTGTTTCTACAGAATTAGGATTAAATCATACCGTCGCTAGGATGTTAGAAGAGAACCAGGAAGCCACTGAAGATAAGTTGCAATTAGAACAACGTGAGATAATGGGGCATCAGGAAATTAAAGAAGGAGCCAGGGAGCCCAGTGAAGCAGCAACTGAGCATGTAGAGCCGGAAAAAGAAGACGTCAGCAGTGAGCTCATGGATGAGGGAATCTTTTCCTGTATATTGCGAGCATTATGTCCCTCGATAGATAATCCTGATGAGGATACCAGCGAAACATTAAGGAGCGATAGACAGGGGCAGGGGGAAACACAACAGGGATCTGAACCCCCTCAAGGAGAGAAACGACCAGGGGAGCAACAGGAGGAAGCATTATCGCCAAAAGAAGACAGTGTTAAAGAGGGAGCTCAGACAGTACCAGAAGACAGTGTTAGAGAGGGAGCTAAGACAGTACCAGAAAACAGTGTTAAAGAGGTAGCTCAGACAGTCCCAGAAGACAGTGTTAAAGAGGGAGCTCAGACAGTACCAGAAGACAGTGTTAAAGAGGGAGCTCAGACAGTACCAGAAGACAGTGTTAAAGA